AAACTAATATCCAAGTCCATTTAAAAGTTTTATAATGCAACTCACCCAAAACAATAGACAAATGATCCTGGCTTTTTTAAAAAAACTAACACCACCTATATAAAATGAAACACTATCTTTGTAATTAACCGAAGGTATATGGTGAATATGGATGACCCAACATTTAGACAAAGTTCCGAATTCACCAAACGAATACATAAATCGTTTATTTACTAATGCCAACACACTTTTAGGATACTAAATAAGGTACTGTGAAGCAGAAAAGATACTGTTTAGAATCATCAATTTATCTCTTGTTGTAAAGCAATAGGTCTAACTAAATTAGAAGAACCAATCATTCAAACCACCAGAGTATTTATTTGGGTGAGATCTCACAAACTCTAACGTTCATCTATCCACCCTCCTTCCCCATGCTCGCCCTTAGGCCGAAGATGCCAGGAAATGTGTACCCTCCTGTCGATAGGAACAACCCACCGCAGGGATGTTTCTCGTGGAAAAAGGACGTTTCTCTTGCATTGCTTTCAGACCTAACTGGTTATGAGAAAAACCAAAGGCCATTGCACAATGCTGAACTACTTCTTTCAAATTTAAAATCATAAAGCTGCTCTTATCGTTTATTTCAAAATATAGATGAATTCTAAAACATAGAATCTTATAAAGTGAAGTCTTTTCTGTGCTCTATAGGCATTTTCCAATAAGTTGTCTAGGTGATAGTATTATTATTATGAATATTTGTACAAAAGATGGGGTCTTTAGAATTTTTTTACAGACTAGGTTTGGACAGTTAATCTACTGTGGTTTTTTTAATGTGGGTGAATAATTGTTTCAAAAAAAAAAGAAAGATGAGGTTAGAGAGAGGAGACAAGGAAGAAACCTATGTAAACATATATAAAAACAGAACTTGTACCTCAGATGACACTGGAGATTGTGGTGACATATTAGCATTATCACTGTCTTGCTAAAATATAAAAATAAAAAGATGAAAGATGAAATTAAAATACAACTGATGATTTAGACACATAAAAGAAAACCTGAAAATTGTTTCTGAGCCACTGCTAAAGGAAGAATCTGGAAAATACCATTTACCACCTTGCCACCCAAAGTGTGGTCGGTGAACGAACAGCATCGGCACCCTCTGGGAGCTTGTTAGAAATGCAGAATCTCAGGCCAACCCTAGACCCACGGAACCCGAATCTGTATCAGTAAGATCCCCAGGTGATTCATAAGCATTTTAAGGTATCAGAAGCACTATCTATTCACATCAAATATTCCTGTGAATTTATTTCTGTTAAATAACCACAAATGAGGAAGATCTTTCCAGATTTCTTAGAAGAGATCCATATATTAGGATTAATTCCTCATGGGAAATGCCAACAATATATAACAATCTGAGAGAAGGATGTGGAGGCAAGCAAAAAGTGCATCACCTCAAATAGGAACATTTACCTGGAAAATTACACGTATTTAATACAGGCTTAGAAATCATTACAAAAAATTTAACTGCCTAAACTAGTATTAAATGGTCCACGTTTGTTGAATGACTACTACCAACCAAATCCAAAAATCTTAACATAGATGCATACCACGTAAGACATCGTCATTTCATTCACCAAAAGATTACTGACTACCCACTGTATGTCAGGCACCGTGCGACGGCATGGGAATACTAAGCCCTGGTAAGAGATCATGCCCTCGGGGATCTCGCAGTCTAGGGGGAAAACAGGTTCATCTGTACAGATAACACAACCCTCTCAGTACGATGACAGACCCATGCCTGGCATATTATGCCCATGCTGCTGGACAGTACACCGAAAGCACAAGAAAGCAGGCCAGATCACAAGCAGAGGCTGGTGTGGTATGCGGGGGCTTGATCGGGAAGGACCTGGAATTTACCTTCTAAGTGACAGGGACACAGTGAAGGAAAATGGACGGGAGAAAAGGAAGAGAGCAAGGATGAAGTGGTGGTGGCACAGGTGGAAGCTGCTAAGGGCCTGTACCAGGGCAGAAACAGCAGAAGTGCAGGTGGGGAATGTATCCAAAATATTTCAGTAGCAAAAAAGAAAAAGGAGGTCTTGCTAAGTGACTGGAAAATGAGGCAGGCAGGACCAAAGTGGATATACAATACAAAGGGACAGGGACAAGAGCCAAGCTGAACCTCTAGCTCCGGGTTCAGCAAACATTTTCTGTGGGATCCCATTTCTTAACATGAAAGTTTTCAGAAGCCCTGCCAAGTACTCAACATGGAATTAACTACCAATCCCTTCAATCAAAAATACACAAAGCTGAAGTATTCATGGTGATGACGCTGTAACATTTCAAAAATGCCAGGCTGCTGCATAACTTACAACAATGAGGTAGAAAAATGTATAATAATGCACAAACTGTAGAAATCTAATTTCAAAGTTTTTAATGCTTTTTATTTATTTCTGAGAGAGAGAGAGAGACAGACAGAATGAGAGAGACGGCGTAAGCAGAGGAGGGTCAGAGAGAGAGGGAGACACAGAATCTGAAGCAGACTCCAGGCTCTGAGCTGCCAGCATAGAACCCGACGCAGGGCTCGAACCCACGAACCGTGAGATCAGACCTGAGCCGAAGTCGGACGCTTAACCGACTGAACCACCCAGGCGTCCCTCAAATGTTAAAACAGTAGACAGAATTTGCAGGAAAAAAATTAACAAATTCCAAAAGAATCTCAACTGATTACAAGATTGGTTTAGGGAGGCAAAAGATGAGAAAAAGTAAATGTTAACAAAATTCTAAAACTTAACTATTAGATGGGGCACCTGGGTGACTCAGTCGGTTAACCGCCCAACTTTGGCTCAGGTTATGACCTCGTGGTTCGTGGGTTCAAGCCCTGCATCGGGCTCTGTGCTGACAGCTTAGAGCCTAGAACCTGCTTCTGATTCTGTGTCTCGTTCTCTCCCTCTCTGCCTCTCCCTGCTCTCACTCTGACGTGCTCTCAAAAATAAAGAAACATTCAAAAGAAAAACCTGAACTATTAGAATTTCCATTCAAGGTAAAAGATATATGGAAATTACATATTTAATTAATAACTACATGACGATGCTTTGTTTTTATTATTGGAAAAAACCTATGCATTAAGTCACTAACAAAGAAACTGACAGATATATGACATTTTACTGACTGAACCAACTACATATGAAAAGTAAACATTTTAAATAATTGCTGCTTTTACTCTCTTTTCTTACCTCATCGTTTTCATTGCCACTTGAACTCTTCCTTGATGATTTATACTGAAAGAAATTTAAAACATATACTTTATTTTTATTTGAACATATGAATTCCCTACTAGTAAATTCTACATAAGGCTTATTCGTATTTTGGTACTTTTATTAAATTATCTGATACTAAGTTTAGATGTAGAACCAGTTTAAACAGTCCTTAGCACTTACTAATAGCTAACACATACAGGGTTTGCTACATGCAAGGCATTGTTCTACACATCTAGTAACATGTCCTTCCTGAGCCAATCCATGTCCCCTTCTTTCAGCTTTGCTACCGGAAGGTTGTCTTAAGTTCTCCCGTTTTCTTAACCCACTATATCCAAAACATCATTGTCAACTCTTTCTGCAATCTTTCCCAGACTTACATCTTCTGAATTCTTGTAACTACTGGGGCAGCTGGGTGGCTCAGTTGATTAAGTGTCCGACTTGGACTCACGTCATGATCTCACGGTTTGTGGGTCCAAGCCCAACATCGGGCTCTGTGCTGACAGCTAGCTCAGAGCCTGGAGCCTGCTTCGGATTCTGTGTTTCCCTCTCTGCCCTTTCCCAGCTTGTGCTGTCTATGTCTCTGTCTTTCTCTCAAAAATAAACATTTGAATTCTTACAACTGCCAACTTATTCTGGGCCCCCATTATCTCACACTGAGTCTGTAATTTCACCATTCCAAAATGCCTTCTAAGAAACCTACTGATTTCAGTTAAGATAAAACACAACATTAGATGTTTACATTGAGTATACAATAACAGTAACAGCAATAATACCTAATGCTTACTGCTTACTATACCCCAGGCACTGAAGGAAGTGTGTTACATGTATCAACTCATTTAATCATCATAACAACCCTAAAGTAAACACTCTTATCTGCTTCTTATATTGAGGCACAAAGGTAATATGCTTAAAATTTAAAAATGCTACTATGTGAAAAGGTGCTTGTTTTTAGAATCAAGAATTGAAGAAAATGCAATACGACAACCACTAGAGTTCTTATTTCTAAGTCCTCCTCACCACAAAAATCCCCGCAAATCAGTGGCAGGTTGTAACACTCGAAATACTGGGGCGCCTGGGTGGCTCAGTCAGTTAGGCGTCCGACTTTGGCTCAGGTCATATCTCGTGGTTCGTGGGTTCGAGCCCTGCATCAGGCTCTGTGCTGACAGGTCAGAGGCTGGAGCCTGCTTCGGATTCTGTGTCTCCCTCTCTCTCTGCCCCTCCCCTGCTTGCATTCTGTCTCTCTCTCTCTCTCTCTCTCAAAAATAAATAAACATTAAAAAAATTATTTTAAAAACACGCAAAATACCACTTGCAACTCATGACTCTCCTATTGGAAAACCTATTTGCAAATTATGTTCAAATGTCTCTGCCTGGCATTCAACATTCTATTTACTTTACTTATGCAGCTTTGTATTCCCTAACTCTTGGAAAATGAGACCACCTCCCTGACAGCTCAACCACAGGCTGGGGGACAAGCACTACTACGGATTACCAACACGAGATCTAAGTTCCTCCACTGTCTCTCCAGTGATTTATGACAATTACCACCACCCAACCCGGGTGCTCTTTCAAGCTGACCCCAGACATAGTCTCCATCCATATGTCTGCAACCCGACGTTCCAGAGACAGCCACCGAATGCGGCTGCCGTGTGTGAACAGACCTACTGGCCACCCCTAGACACAATGCTCACTGGCAGCACGTATTCTTGGTCCTACTCTACTTCAGCACAAGAGCGACATTTGCACAGCAGACCCCAGCACCTGAAGATGGCGTCAGTCATACCAATAAAGGAGAAGAAAATCATGGATGTCAGAACAGAGTAGCTGCCAAGCTGAGTACTGATGCAGGACCTCGCCCCTGAAGGCACCGTTGGAAGGTTCCAACGAGGTTCCTACCAGTATTACAAGCAAGTACCACAAAGGGGGGGCATCATCGGGCTTTCTATGCTGCTGGCGTCTCACGTGCTTTTCAACTTACGAGTGCAAACACGAGCAGCTACGCAAGTACCGCTGAAGAAGGCCCAGTGTGGAGCATGCACTCTGCATTCCTGACCACGACCTTCTTTGCCAGGCACCCCTGATAATTTGCTGAGACCTTTCCTATTTTAATTAAGAATTAATACCTGATAGAAGAGGGCTCATGCCAGAATGCCATTTGAGTGAATAATAAGCTAATATTCATTACGCGTATACTCTGTGGCAAATGCTTTTCTAATTAATAAGCACTTCACATTATTAAGTAGCTCAATAGTTAAAACAATCCTGTAAAAGAAGACACTATTAGAGTCATTTGAGGATAGAAAAGATATTAAGCTCAGCAAGGTTAGGTAATTTGTCAAAGTCGCACAGTCAGTAGATATCCAAGGTAAAAACTGGGAACCAAAGCGGTTGGATTTGAGAAGTCAAGGATATTAACCCCTATGCTATACTACCATCTCTAAGTCCTCAGTGATTAGCAGAGCAGAAGTCTGCCAGGAATAAAAAGGGCTAGTGGGCATTCTCAGGAGAAGGAGGAACAAAGGAATAAAAAAGTTCAGTCTATGCAGAAAACAAAGATAGCAGTATGGCTAGTTGAGGAGAGTGAATTGTGGAAGGTAATAAAACTTAAAGAGAAATAGGTAAGCATGGTTTAAAAGTCCAAACTTGGGGCACCTGGGTAGCTCAGTCGGTTAAGTGTCTGACTCTTGATTTAGACTCAGGTCATGATCTCATGGAGCCCCGAGTCAGGCTCTTCCCTGACAGCAAACGCCTGCTTGGGATTATCTTTCTCTGCCCCTCTCCCACTCACATGCTCTCTCTCCCTCTTAAAATAAATAAACATTAAAAAAAATATTTAAAATTATTATTATTATTAAAAAAAATTTTAAGTCCAAGCTCTGTGTTATTGATACTAGAGAGTCAAGAAAGTTTGGCCCTAAAAGAAAAGAGAGAAGGCAACAGCTGCAAGGGAGTTGGGGATAACTGTGGAAGTCTAAGCGCAGTCATAAGATGGAAAGTAAAGAGACGGAAAGGATGTAGAGAAGTGAGTAACAGATAAAGGAAGGAAACAGAGGATGATGAAGAACACAGATGGTAATAATACTACCTACTACTCAACTACATTTCTCATGAAAACCTTTCATTACAAATGAAAACTTAGAAAGGTACTACTTAGTTTGCATTAACTGCACAGATTTGAAGGTCCTAAAACCCAAAACCTAATATACACACAGATTTGAAAATATTCTGTAAGTCCGATTTGTACTGAATCAACTCAGCTGCCCTCAATTAGTATTAGTCTGAATAACTAAAGTTTATTATTTCTAAATTCAGGTAATATAATAAAGACCTGTTTACAAACCAAAGAAACAAAAGGTCAATTCACTTTTGAAATTTAAGTTAATTTTGCAGAAGAGACAGTAATTCGTGCACAAACTCTGACTCAGAACAAATCAGGTTATTTCACAAACCCAGCTGGCTTCCCTATTCCAGTACAAAAGTAATCATGATCCTAGAAAATATATAAAAATATTTCCCTTGGAGTTAGCCTTTAAATGAAAACATTAGGGCACCTGGGTGGCTCAGTTGGTTAAGCGTCCGACTTAGGCTCAGGTCATGATCTCATGGTTCGTGGGTTCAAGCCCTGCATCGGCCTCTGTGCTGACAGCTACCTCAGAGCATGGAGCCTGTTTCAGATTCCGTATCTCCCTCTCTCTCTCTCTCTCTCTCTGACCCTCCCCTGCTCACGCTGGCGCGCTCTCTCTCTCGCACAGAAATAAATTTAAAAAACATTAAAAAAATTTTAAATAAATTAAAACATTATACTATATTTATCGAATCAGATAGGTATTCTAAGGGTCATTGTAATGTTTTATCACAACAGCAATAAGATACATTTGAAGTCAAATATATATGGCATTTTGATAAATCAAATCATCCTTAAAACTGATATGGTATAGTTATTCTAATGCTTTTTAACTTTTTTTGTTTAGAAATCAATCATCAAATGCATTTAGAAATTCATGTGTTATCATTCTTAGAAGAAATTAAAGCTACTAATTTATATAATTTATCAAAAAATCAGATGTTCATATTTTATTGTGTATCTCATTAAAAAGACTAATACATATCTGTAAAGTGTAAAATACATTTGCCTTTCTGTAAATAACTTAATAAAGGAATGTATTTCCTGAAATACCTTTACTTTGAAAAACGCAGTGACTTTATTTTGGCAATAAAGACATTAGGTTTTATTTAGTAGAGTAGTAATCTACACAAGAATGGCCTGGGAGCCTAGAAGAGTTAGTGTAAGTCTGCTACGGTGATTTACTTACTCATACAATCTGACCCAATCTAACTTCTTGCTCACATAATCTGGCTAATATGCTGAAACCTTTTTTACTTCTTTCGAGGGGCTTACCTGAGAAAACCTTGCTACCCAAAATCAGTCTCGGCAACTTAGGAAGCAATAACTGAAGACCCACATACAACAAACATTCACACAAATACCTTCAATACACTGAATAACAACACCATTAATAATTTACCATGGAACATAAAGAAATCGTGTGGCTTAGCCATTTATATGCATTAGGGTAACGTGGCAACAAAAGCTCTGTATGTTTCTTAACACAATAAAGCTAAAGGGTCCATCACTGAGTGAGCCTGATGATATTCTGGTGATATTTTGATATGACTCTCTAAGGTGGTGCATTTTAATGTTGAATGAACTATAAATCCAGACTAAGTTCAGTGACATATCCTATGAATAACCCTTTTGATTCCTGGGAGATGGGTGATTAAAAGAAATTGTTTTTTAAATAAAGACACTTCATAGCTATCAATGATGTTTTAATCAAGAAAATCCTGGCAATTCTGAATGTTTTTGACTTAGAAACTATCTCAGGGTTTATATATATATTTTTTTTTTTACTTCTTAGGAAAAAAATTGTTGACGTTCCATTTTCTTACAGTGTCCTAACACTGACATCTTCTGACTACTGAGGAGAACTACATATCTCCTTAAAATATTTCCCAGTCACTAAAGCTTTTCTTTGCATCCACTTTATTTAAAGTATGGAAGAAATTAACGTTTGTTGAATGATGATAATGTAATGGACATTTCAAATATTATCCCGTTCGATCTCTTAGCAACTTATAAAAGAGAAACATTACAGGAGGTAATTTAAGACATAAAAAATAAAATCCTTATCAACAAATGATGCAATTAAATTAAAGAACTTTTTTAAAGGCTCACTGAAGCTTCTATTAAGACTTTATTGATAAGTTCAGCTGGGGGTAAACTGGTGGCCACCGACTGGTGGCTCAGTCGGTTTTAAGGGTCCGACTTCGGTTCAGGTCATGATCTCACAGTTTGTGGGTTCAAGCTCCGCGTCAGGCTCTGTGCTACTTCAGATTCTGCGTCTCCCTCTTTCTCTGCCCCTCCTCCACTCGCACTTTAGCGTCTCTCTCTCAAAAATAAACATTTAAACAAAATTTTTAAAAGGGAGTTCGGTTGGGTTACGGTAAAATATTTTTAAAAACAATGAAACTGTATTGATTTGAAAGTTTTAATTTGATATTAGGCTATCCACAGTAGATAAACAGGCAGCAGAGCATAGGCTCAGGGGTCAAATTTTGACTCGGCTACTTATTTGCTAGGTGACCTGGAGCATATTACTTAGCCTCTCTGTGCCTTAATTTCTCCATCTGTAAAACAGGAATGATAATGTACTTACTTCATAGGGTTGTTATGAATATTGAATGAGTTGATATTTGTAAAGTACTCAGAACAGTGCCTCGCACTTAGTACATGGTATGCAAGTGTTTTGATAAAATGTCAGAATTTATATGCTTTTATTTTACTAGTTGATCAAATAAATATCAAAATCTCATTCATTAGCCAGAAGTTCTAAAATTTCCCCCACATCATCACTCATTCATCAGGTTTTCTCTACTAACAAATTTTATTGAGTGCCTTTGTTCAAGATCCTATAAACTAGAGGACACTTGAAAATAAATGTCAGAATGTACATATAATTGCTGATCTGTAAAGATCTGGGATAAACAGGGTTTACACCATTACTGACCAGGGTTCTGCTTGAGAGTGTTTTTCTTTTTTTCCCTATGTCTTTTATTTCTTCATCACCTCTCATACTGACCAGGTAACATGAAGCACAATAAAAGGATTCAGTAATTATTTGTTGAAGGATGAAACTTTTCACAGACTTGCTATGACACATAACGTTTTTGTTTTGGTCATATGATACTACTTCCAAATATGTTCTATTCCCATGTAAGGAAACAGAGCAATGTGTATAGATAACCACTTCTACCAAACAGAAAAACATGAAATACAATCCTATCCATTAGTGATATAAACTTCAAATTACCTATAATTTAGCAGAGAACTATGTTATTTACATAAAATTATTATTATTAGATAAAAATTAGGCTTCAGGGAACAGAGAAGTACACAAGGACAACAGAATTTGCTATTCATGGGGCAGGAAGCTTTCCTGCTCTGTTCATTTGAGTCAAAAAGTCCAATAATGGATTCTGACCAGTATTGAACATTATGCTAATTCCACAGGCATCTACAAACACAGCAGACTTTAACCACAAGTGAGTAATATGACAATATTTACAAAGGTGTACTCAGTAAAGTTTCACTAAAACCCTGCTAAACTAGAAATCTGAGATAATTCCGACAGTCTAAGCTTTTAATTTAGCTAAGATAAAAGAGTATCTTAAGAAATTTACTAAGGTAGCAAGAAGAAAAAATGGGGGACACTTTCAAGAATCTTTAGAGTCATGTAAATAGGATTTATTTTGACAGAAACAGTTATATTCTAATGGCAAATATGTGTGAACTACATATTGAAACAAATCTAATTAAAGACCTTTTCTAAGTAATTCTTTGAAGACATTACGCCATATGGCTACAATAAGCAGTATAGCAAGCATTCATCTTTCTTGTCAAGTATTTGGTAAAGCACAATTCAGACTGATCTACTCACCCTTAGTTCTTCTTAA